CAAGGTGTATCTGCAACCTTTAGGGAACTCATATCCCTTCTGAGATTCGAACCTGTGTCACCCAGTGAGTGCTGCAGTCAGAAACGTTACCACTGAGCTGTCCAGGCTCACGACTGACCTGCTGTAGGACTGTATTGGATACTTTTGATTGAACACTACTCAGTAATCAATGAAATGTGTGTCCAGTCCTTTCCTTGGTACAGACTGAATTCTATTGTCAGTCAAGTTTGCAATGTGGCCGCCATGCTAGGTGGCTCACCATCAAGATGCACTGTGAATTGTTGGTATTAGATGTTTGGAGGTTCAGTGGTAACGTCTCTGACACTGCAACACTGCACTGGGTGTGACGCAGGTTCGAATCTCAGAAGGGGCATGAGTTCCTTCAAGGTGACTGTAGATACGCCTTGCTGACTGGTGAGTGTCAACTAGCACGAAACCTAGGTAAATCAAGACTTCCTGTGGCCGATTGCTTCCGAGCATCTAACTCAAGGCTATCTCATTTTATTATTTATTTTATTTAAACGCAGAAAAACTTGGTACAATATGCCACCAAGAAAGATGCGCCACACAATATTGTGTGAGGGCTGAGATACTGCCCGGGCACCCAGACCGAAGCAGGTGCTTTTCCTAAAGGACCACCCCCCGAGCCTTTGACTTGGAGTCTAATCCGCAAGGCGGCGGAGCAGCGTCAGGAGCTGCGTTCCCATGGTTGCCGGTGACCCATATGGGTTCATACGCCATTTGATCCGACTAAATTCTGGAGCCCATGTACCCCATGGTAACTGCTTTTAGTCTAACCGCTATCCAAACAACCTTCCTGGCATGGTAGGACCTGCAGGGACATGAGTCCCAGCCAGTTTAGCTTGTTGGGTCACTGCGGCATTCAAGCCCGACCACCACGGCAAGGTAGCAGTTATCGGTCGGCTATCTCAAATAGTCTTACTACCAATTATCAATCAATAATTCTTGTGTTTTTTCGTTGCACAATGTTCATTATTTCCCCCTAGTAGGTGCGCTCAGCTCATCGTCTCATGATTAGCATATGGAAAGTAAATAGAGCATTCTAGTGATCAGATAACTTCTTGTTTGTTTATTGTTTGTTTTTGTATACAGCTAATTACTGTTATTACCAGTAAAAGTGATTGTGATTGTGGCTGTCCTGATGATAGTTTAGTTTTCTTTGTTGTTGTTTTTTTTTTTTACTTCGTAATTATTTCTAATAACTGGGGTAGTGTCTTTAACCGAACAACAATAATTACTGTCCAAATAGTTAAACCATATGTACAGCTGATCGAAATGTAACTTTATCAAAAATAAGTAAATCTTATCGTGGATTAGCCCTTAGTTAGTTAGTTAAAAGAAAGAACTACTGGAAAGATAGATAGATAATACTCGCCGAAGACATTGGCTAGGGGTCGCGCTATGTCGTGAATTGGCAGAAGTTAGAATTCATGGGCCATTGGATCGGGTCCCAGTGGCTTAATGGTATACGAGCTTGCCTTGTAACCAGAAGGTCCTGGGTTCGAACCTTGGCGATGGGTGCGTACTGATGAAGAGTCCCAAACTAGGACGAAACAGCTGTCCAGTTCTCCCAGGTTTTCCATTTGTTCTCTAACCAATGTCAGCTCATGATGAAATCCTGTAACCAATCAAATTCCTCATTTACTCATTTATGCCGCCTAACCATCGCCTTCCTCGATGGGAAATGTTAGCTGATATAGGATCAGGTCTGAAAGGAGCTAGTGGTGCTCAAACTAAAACTTGGAATCAGTTTATGTGAAATCTTTGACACTTGGCCCAAAGTCGTTTTCAATGGTGCAGATGCATTCAGTCTTTGTGATCCCCCGTATCCAGTTTCTTTTAAAAATTCCTTTACGTTCCCAGTGGAACATAGGGTTTCAAGCTATAGCTTTGAAGATTCGGTAGCAGTGGAGTTTATTTTCAGAGGATGGGGTTGCTAGCCTCATGCCCAGCTTTCTCTCTTTATCATTCGTGTTACTGGTTTAGCGAGGTAGAGGAGTGCACCGACCGGGATCGAACCCCGAACCACAACAGGCGTGGTTGATGAGCATTCTACCGCTGTGCCACCTTGTGGGTGGTGCATTTCTGTGTAAAGTTTTATGTTGAAACCAGTTAGTCAGTCAGTCATATAGAAGCATTGACTTGATATTGGTATCCAAGATCCGGGTCTTGTTCCTTATGCGTTTTCGAAAGACATTACGACTTACAACAAATAATAATAATAATAATAATTATAACCGAAAAACTGATTAGCGAATTCATATTTTCGAATAATTCCTTCCTTTAAAAGGATTACTCACTGCCATGCGTTTCCTAATTTGCATCTTTTTTAGCCTAATATATTATTCCTAATATATTATTATTATTATATTAAATTTCCACTTCCTCTGATTCTTTTCCCAGGAGTAAGTAGAATACATGATGAACCTCAACCTCCACCGCCACCACCACATTCGTCAGATCTTATTCACGGTGGACAGTACACTGGTAAGCAGTCGTCACATCAACCATTCGATGGCAGTAGTAGTACAAATATTCTAACCAATCAACCTTCTTTAATTGGACAATCCAATGTGGTACAAAGATCCAGTCCACAAATCTCTCCTCAGTCTATAGTAATTACAGACTCAAATAAAGCGCTGCCTAGTTCAGTTTGGTCAGTTCCAGCCAATAGTACTGCAAGCAGCAGCAGCAGCAATGTTGCTCCTCGAGTTTCAGAGCCTAGTCCACGTGCGAATCAAAAAACAAAAGCTCAGGTATGTAATCCTTGTAATCCCTGTCTTGTTTGTCATTATTTTTCCTTTCCTATACATGTCACACCCGCTTTTTAGCTAAACGAAATATATTCACAATGTTTCTTGTCGTCATCAGATTTGTCACTTCGAGATTATACAGTTTGAAGTGAGAATTCATCAAAATATCTAGGTTACAGTGTATGTGATAACCTGCTTGTTACTGTAAATATAAATCAAGAAACCAAGCATGATGTTGTGTATATTACTCATTGTTAAGATCAGTTGGATATCACTCACGACACACAGTGATTCTTGCCAGTTGGATCACAGTGATCCAAAGACTAGACTGCTATTTATCTGAGTGCGCAACCCACATCCTCCCCTTTATTGGTAATAAAGGGATGTTGAATAACAATCTTCAATCTTGTATAGAGGAGAACTGCATCTTAAGTTGTGACGATGAGCACATTATTGTGTTACACACCTGAAGGTTCGATGTATTTTTCCAATGGATAAGTGGTAATTTACCTTGAAACTCGGTATTTCTTGGTTCCACGATGGTAAACACTCTTGTCAGTGTCCTCTTCAGATGATAACCCTTCAGAGCTTCAACAGATTTTGTCGGTCGTATGGGAGCCGACTAGGGGAATTCCAGATATATATAGTGTGACAAAGGGTCGATGGTTTACTTTTGATTGGACTTTTGTTAGCAACTAGTGTAATGTATGTGTTCCTCTAATCGGCACAGACTGAATTCTATCAGTCAATGTGACCACCATTCCGTATAACTCTCCATCACAGTGCACTTTGAATTGTTGATATTCGATGGTTGGAGGCAATCGGCCACAGGAAGCCTTGGATCTAGCAAGAAATCTAGGTCCAGGGCTTCCTGCCGATCGCCTCCAACCATCGAATATCAACAATTCAAAGGTTTACAGGACTTCATCATGAGGTGACATTAGTTAGAGAACCATTGGAAAACCCGGGAGTACTGGACAGGTGTTTCGTCCTAGGTTGGGACTCTTCATCAGTACGCACCCACCGGGATTCGAACCCCGGCTACTCCCATTACTCCCAGGTTTTCCAATGGTTCTCTAACTAATGTCACCTCATGATGAAATCCTGTAACCAATCAAATCCCTACAAACTAAGACTTGAAATTCAAAGGTTGATGGTATGTTGATAAGCTTTCATATATACTCATTCGTATGATTTGAACAGCGTAAGAGTGAGCATGTAAGATACTACTATCAGCTCTTTGAGTCCATGTGTGTAATTTATTCACTCAAAATGACGTGATATCTAAAATTTTAATTTCTTCACTTTGGTTACTTCATTGTACCATTTTTTTTTATTTATTTACTTATTTCTAAACTTTTAGTTCGATGGTCAATCATCTCAGTCAAGTGGTGGCGGCGGCGGCGCAGGCGCAAGTAGTAGTAGTAATTCATCCTTCGGTCTCATTAAATCCGTCGCCCTGTCTAATCCAATCTGTGCTAATCTACTGAATTTCAGTCTACCGTCGATCACCACATCGAATACAGTGATTACAACTGGTCCACCACGTGGTGGTGGTGGTGGCAGTAGTACTACTGGCATATTATCAACAACTGTCAATATCAATAACCTGCCAACAACAGCTACTGGTTTAGGCGGTGATACACCCGAGATTCAAGTGTATAAAAAACGCTTTAATTCAGAGATTCTATGCGCATCCACATGGGGTGTAAATTTGCTAATTGGTTTGGAGACTGGCCTATCTTTATTAGATCGTAGTGGTGAAGGTCGAGGTAAGTGGAGTATTTGTGTGTATATATTGTATAAAATTAACACTTAATTAGGCATTGCCTTTTTTCTTCTTTTTTCTCATTCCATTCATATACTACTGATTGATTGGTTGAAATGAGTAGTAGTTATCGTATTATTATTATTTCGTTTAATTCCTAGAGGAACATAGGGCTTCAGCTGCACGTCTCCATTGCGTTCGGTTCTCTGCTTTCATCTCCTCTTCACATGACCTCCTCCAAGTCACCCTTGCACTGACGACCAACTCGCCGCTTCCCTTTCGGGTTCCACTTGAGCAATGGCTTGTCGAGTGATGTCACTTGATGGTTTGTTTTCTCAGAGTATGGCCAATCCATCTCCATTTCTTCCTGCATATTTGTTGCACAATCGGTTCCTGCTGGGTTGGTTCGCTCATTGCCAGAGATCCCTGTTGCTGATCTTTTCTGGCCATCTGATCTTGAGTATTGAGCGAAGACAAATGTTAATGAAGGTCTGTAGTTTGTTGGAGATGCTCTTTATGACGCGCATCAAGTCTCTGATCCGTAAAGTAGCACTGACTTCACATTGGAGTTGAAAATCCGGATCTTATTTTTGATGCTGAGTGTTGTTGACCTCCACACAGACTTGAGAGTAATGAAAGCTTGTCTTGTTTTCCCGATCCTTGCTTTGATATCCTCGTCAGTCCCGTCTGCCTGTAGTTGAAACGATGCTTCCCAGGTAGGTAGGTGAAATGAGGTTGTTTCTTTCAGGTTTCTCCCATTTATGCTGATTGCTGTCTGTTGTTGTTGTTGCTGTTGGTGTTGGCCAGGAATCTTCATCACCTCTGTTTTCTCTATGTTCACCTGAAGGAAGTCCTATCTTTGATGCTTCTTCTGCCAACTTGTTGCTTTTCGCTTGCATGTCTTCCAGTTTTTGGGAAATCAGACATATATCATCGGCGAAGTCCAGATCCTCCAAGTTTTTTGTGTGTGTCCATTTTATGCCTGTTTCCTCACTGCGTGGCCCGCTGTCTGTCGCATTATCCAATCTACTGCAATCAGGAAAATCATTGGCGATAGTAGGCAGCCAGCTTGTCTTACTCCTGTCTTTACTTCGAAGGATTCCGTAAGTTTCCCGTTGTGGATTACCAATAAGGCTTACTAGTCAGATAGCGAAATGACGTTTACTCATCTTTTAAACCCATCTATGAAACGTGTTTGGGGTATATCCTAAAGTTTATGGAAGCCCTAGCTGGCAATTAGGAAGTTTAAACCACCTTGATGCGTTGAAAGCAACAATTCATCATCACACTAAACCTACCTTACTTGGTAAACTTTGTTTTGATACCAGTCAGTGTAGATGTACTATTACCTCTGTTATTTGGTTTAGTGATCTTCATGGATATTTTGACCTTCAATATGTCCTTTTAACTTGACCTAAGTTGATTTTCTCACCTCTTAACTCTTTATTAATTTCATACATATAATTCCCATGACGAGTATGTGTGTGGCATCAGACTGTTCGAAATGTGTTGGTAGTGTCCACTGGACACGAATTGTTACAATAGCTCCAAGGGGGCGTACTACTATTAACCATGGATGCAACTAGTCTAAGGTTTGACGTCAACCGGATTAAGCAATGAGAGTTTCTATGTAAGTAAAACAAAAAAGCCACTATAGTAGAAACATCAGTCAGAAGATTTGAAGAACTTTAGAGAACTGAACAAGCAGCAGACAGAAGACGGACAGTGACGAAATAAATATCCCCAGTGTAGACTGATTTTTAAAAGTTTCTTTTTTCTTGGCAAATAGTAGAATGAATGAATGTGCACAGGTTTATGATTCTGATTGTAATTCATATCTATCCTCTCCCTGCCCCCCCCACCTCCGATATCACTACTACAATCACAGCCGTATTAGACCACTACTAAAACTTCGTATATGTGCAGTCTAACTCCTCCCTACAATTGTATTGAATTGTATTTCAACTAGCCTTCTGACTCATTCAACGACAACAACAACAACATCAGCAAGAACAGACACCAGACAAAGCATAAAGAGAATTTGAAGAAACAGTCAAGTTCAAAACCAAATTCCTACATAAGAGAATTTTCTTTCCCATGGTGTTTTTCAACACAACATCAATACAACAACATTCCTTCTCCTTTATACTAGAATTTATTAACCCCCAGTAGTCGATTGCAAAAAGTCAAAGTTCACTTGGTGGTAGTTAATGCACGATGGTGTATGTGTGTGTGTGTGTGTGTGTGTGTGGTGAAGGTTAGAAAATTCAATGGGATTTTCTAAGGTCAAATATGAAAGTGATGTGGGTAGATGTGTGTACGTGTGTAAATGGAATTTTAAAATGTATCGAAATGATAAATAAAAAGTGGCATAAAACAAAATGTCATTTCCCTAAGTGATTAGTCATCATTGTAAGTGTAAATATATTCAGTAAATATTCTCTCGTTTCACATCCTAAAGCCTATATGTGTGTTATTATTTAGCTAGTCTGATTATGATTATAATAATAATAATAACATTAACTGATCGATCGATCGAATGCAAAGGGGAGAACAGATTTATTGCATGGAGGATTTCATCATGAGCTGACATCAGTTAGAGAACCACTGGAAAACCACCAGGGAGTACTGGACAGCTGTTTCATCCTAGTTTGGGACTCTTCATCAGTACGCACCCACCAAAGGGGTTCGAACCCAGGACCTTCTGGTTACAAGTCTGGCGAGCTCGTGCAGTAATCCCAGGTTTTCCAGTGGTTCTCTAACTGATGTCAGCTCATGATGAAATCCCCCCATGCAATCAAACAAAATCCCAACGAAACCAATACTTGAGAACAAATTTATTCCTATACACACCAATGTTCGAACCCATTTATTGTCCTTACAAGAAAACCAGATGGTAGCATAAAAAAAAAATTTGCATAGAAAAAGTACTTGGACAGGACAATATACTCACACACATTTTCACAGCTTCATTCCTATCAAGTACAAAAGAAATTTAGTGAAAGCCCTCAACCACAGGGTTTGTTGGAGCCAGATATGCTCAGAAGAAGAGTAATTGAAGATGAATTAAGCATTATATATGATACTTTGATCGAAAATAGCTACCCCGAAAAAAATTTATCAAGAAACACATGACAAAGAAAGCGGAAAAGGACTGCTCACTATCTGTGAACAAGAAGTCACTTTATGTACGACTGCAATTCAGAGGCGATATACCAAACGAAATAATTTCGAAGAAATTAAGCAAATCAGTTCAAAGAACTTTTAATGCTGGCGAACTACGACGTCTTATTCTCTACACGACCGATGGTGCTACCTCGACTGAAAGATGAAGTACTTAGACTAGCCACTTTATTTTTTGTGCTCAAGAACATCTCCCACTATGGCTAAGTAAAGGTGTAGTGAAAACCATCATCAACAGTTCGATATTGAACCATCTGGTGCAAACCGGCCGGCCACAAAGCCAGCGTTGAAGAATCCTTCTCTATCATCTACCGGGTGCCTAATAAGTTGCCAAAATCATCGAAGCACCGCATGCTCCATTCAAACAGCAGAGGCTATTGCAATTCGCCTCAAAAAACCAGTGTGCTCTGTGTTCAAAAGAAGCAAGTCCAGCCAGCCCCTACTACTGCCCTGACCTTTAGTAGAGACTATAAATTCATGAATTTGTAATATTATCTTTCTTAATTCTTCTGACATTCAGCTTATGTTATGTTGATGCTATTGAGCTGTAATCTATCAATATTATTGATTCGATGTTATTTAAACAACGTTAATGTTGTTCAGCGGTATTTCATTGGTAGAATGTTCTCCAGCCAACCACCTGCAAGGTTCATCTTCGATTCCCGACCGATGCACCTCTCTGCATCTTGCCTAGTCCTGCAAACTAGAGAAGGTTGGGCTTGGGAGGGCTGTCCTCCCCAATAAGAAACTTCATAGCTTGAAACCCATTCAGAACCGCGAAGTAATGAAAGAACAAACAGCTTTGTTGCTTATATAAAAAATCTTTTCAGAGTTGCACGGTAGAAGTTTGCTGGGCGTGTGTAACTCAAGAGACCTCGTGTGGATCGTAACCTCTCTCTGCGGCTGCTGTGTGTGTATCGGTAGGTAGCTCAGTGATAGGAATACTCTTCGAATACTCGCATGTTTCATGGTTCGATTCTTGGCATACGTAATTCTAAATTTCGCGCTTATCCCGGGTAGTAAGCCTGACAAGGAGGGGGGGGAGGTTGTACGTGTGAGGCTAGCAAATCCCCCCCCTCGAAAAAACATCACGGATAGTGAAACTTCAAAGAGGAAACTGGAAGCCCCATGTGCTCCACTCGGAACACAGAGAAATAAAATAAATAAAAATAATAATAATCAATAACAACTAGGTCACTTTAATTTATAAGTTAACAGCTTAAAAATTTATGAATCACTGGTTAAAAAAGGGGAGTCACTCGATGAGTTGTCTTCTGAATCTGTATCGATTTTTAGGTTGTTTAGAAATGTGTGTCACATATATGCAGATCCTCCATTGTCTTCTTTGATGTGTAAGTGACGTATTGGTGGTGCTAAGTTGAATATTAGGTTAGAAAAGAGTGAAGGTTAGTCAGACGAAAAAGATGATTGCCGAGAGTCTCTAAATTTATTCACTGTTCACCTGATCTGATTCACGTTAAGAGGTTTAAATTACCCTTGCTTGGGGGGGGGGACCTTGTGAATGTTAAGAATCAATGGTCAGTCACACGTAGACACACATAAATGGATATTTCCTCTTGATTCCATATGATGAAAGAAACAACCTCTTTTACCTATCGACCTGGAAACATCGTTTCAACTACAGGTGTAGCTGTGTGGAGGTCAACAGCACTCAGAATGAAAAATAAGATCCGGATTTTCAACTCCAATGTGAAGTCAGTGCTACTTAACATACGGATCAGAAACTTGGCGCGTCATAAAGAGCACCTCAAACAAACGACAGACCTTCATAAACAGCTGTCTTCGCTCAATACTCAAGAT